CGGGACTGCTGCGTCGAACGGTTTGTGAGTACAGTCGCTTTATTTGTACGGGTGATGTTCACAGGCGTATGCGATGTCGTGGCGAGGCCGTGACGAGAGGAACACGAGATGGGGCGACGACGACAGGTGGGCGGAGGGCAGGCCGCGCTCGCCCGTGTGGGAGTCGCGGAGGAGCCCGAGCCCCGAGCGCCGGGAGCCGCGCGCTGAGCGCCATCACCACGATCGCTTCGACCGCGACCGCGACCGCTACGACCGCGATAGGGACGAGGATCGCGAGCGCCGCGACCGCTACCGTCGCGAGCGGTACGACAGACCCCGTGACCGTCGCAGGTCGCCCAAGCGGTACGATGACCGTGATCGTGACGTACCGGCACCGCCATCCCCGCCCAACATTAGTGAAATGGAGCGCAAAGCTAGTTCTAGGTCTAGCAGCCGCTCCAACAGTCGCGACCGGATGGACTTAGAGTACGACAATAAATACGAGGGCAGAGACAAACATGACGACAACCAGGCTATCAATGCGTCCCCGGGGGATTGGTTCTGTAAGTGTGGACTGTACAACTTTAAACGGCGTCAGGTGTGCTACAGGCGAAACTGTCAAGGAAAGAGGTCAGATGGCATTGTTTATGGAGGCGAAAATGACCGGAATCTGTTGTCAGAAAGTGCTGGTATTACAAAACGACTGCTGTTCAGAAGGTTGGATGCATTGACAACAGAGGAAAAAATATTAGAAGTTATAAAAGAACGGTGCTCAAAGACTGTCTTAGATTCTATTGCAGGCATCACTATTGGAAGAGAAACTCTAACTGGAGCATCCAAGTGTTTGGCTTATATTAATTTCAATTCCATTGCTGACTCTACAGCAGCACACTCTGAGCTTGCTTCTCTGCAGCCTCCTCTAGAAATTGATGGAAGAGAAGTTCTAGTCAGTTTCTATAATGAACCCAAAAAGATTTCTAAACCTCCCAGTGCAGATTACTCTTCTTACTATTCTCAAATGTCTAATTATAACTCGTCAGCTCAGGCAATGTCTGAGGCAGACAGAGTCAATGCAGCCGCTGCTGTGGCACAGTCAGCCATATCTGCAGCCCAAGCTCGCCACCTGGCGTGGACTCCTGTAAGTGTTCCCGTGTTTGTGACCTCTACTGCACAAACGGCTCCTTCAGTTAAAGCTCCCACTGGTGATGGGAAAACTGTGTATAGTCCCCCAGATGTTAGAACTTTTATGTATGATGAGACTTCTGGGTATTACTATGACCCAGCCACAGGCTTGTACTATGATGGTACTAGTCAATACTTCTATAACAGCCAAACTAGCCAATACATGTACTGGGATGCTGCCAGTAATACTTACATAGCTGCAACACAAGCACATCAGAACACAGAGCAGCCCAAACTGCCAAACCCACCTACAGCCACCACGGAGAATACTATCGCGAAAGAGCCAGAGGAAAAGAAGAAAAAAGACAAAGAAGATAAAGTCAAAGTTGCCAAAAAGATAGCTAAGGACATGGAGAGGTGGGCTAGGACTTTGAACCAAAAGAAAGAGAATGCTAGGAGTAATATTGTTATGGAACAGCCCTTAGATGTAGGAGCCAGTAAGGGATCAGCTGATATAGGATTTTCTGTGTTAGGTTCAGGTCCGTCCCTGACACATGTCAGGGAGATATCTCCTCCACCCACTGGAGATGATTTTCTAATGAAAAAGGTGTCTGATACTGAAAACACATTTGATAGTGACGAAGGTATTATAGATTGGAGCAAATTAACCTGTCTCATTTGTAAGCGACGTTTCCCCTCTGCTGACGTGCTCAACAAACACAAATCACTGTCAGATCTGCACAAACAGAACCTGGCTGAGTTCCGCAAGAAGAACGACCTGATCCCACAGATGAATGGCTACAGAGACAGGGCAGCAGAGAGACGAATGAAATTTGGTGAAGACGAAACACCTATTATACGCAAGCGATACGAACCGCCTGACTCCATGCCTCCTCCAATGGCGCCACATCCTCCACCATCAGTCGTCGACACTATTGGAGGCAAGATGCTACAAAAGATGGGTTGGTCAGAAGGCAGAGGGCTAGGTAAAGAAGAGCAAGGTAGGATTGCTCCCATTGAAGCTGAACAGCGACCGAGTCTAGCAGGGCTCGGCCAGAAGAGGGGTATTTACACTCCAACCCCCGGGGAAACATACAGAGACACTGTTAAAAAGCTTATGATTGCAAGATACAAGGAGGTTGTCGGACAGGAGGAAGGGAAATAGGTGGGTCTGAACTTTATTATTTTGTCTAACAATATTTTGTTTGCAGGTTTTGGATTGCAGGTCAGTCACATGTTTATGTTGTTAAAAACAAAATAATAATTGTCAGGTGTTGAAGATTTCTTCATTTGCAATTATTTTAATACAAGACTTGAAAATGTATAATATGTGCACTTAATGTTTTACCCAAATGTGACTATGTATTAGGTTTGAGTTGTACAGTTGTCTATGATGTGGCTCATGTTTAAAGAGAAGTCTAGAAGATTGCTTGTGCTCTAAGACTATAGTTAATGTGAATCAAGTCCAAGGTTGTGGTACATTGGTATACAACAATACCTAGATTCTAATGGTTTGATTCTGATTTCACTACACTAGATGTTGGCGCTCAAAGCTTCTTCTGAGGGTCGTCACTCAGAAATCACGACATCCAAAATGGTAAGTATTGAATCTGCCAGTCACACTATACATGTATCCTAATATTGTTTTCTTCACAGCTGTACTCAGGTAATGATATATAATCAAGGATACAGACAGGGTCGATTAAATACACCTTGGTCAACTCATCAAGCCATTTTGCAGGAGGTTCACTAGACTGTTTATTGTTACTTGTTTAGCAAATTAAATGTATTTTAAGATGGTGATTGGCATTTTTAGCATTGTTCAACTTGATGTCTCATTGCTTGAACTTATTTAGATTGATAGGATCAGGATAACAGTTATTTCTTTTAGCACAAAAGGTATTAATAAGCTGAAATATTTTTTTGTTGAAATAAAGCAGGTAGTATTGATTTGTAATTGGCTGTAATAAAATTTAATATGGATCTTTGACCTTTTCAACTAGGTAGTGTTCAAGGATAATGTCGTTGAAGAATGCTACCCATAAAAATATTTTATTCCATCAATATAATTTCCCTTTGAATGAATGTTACTGCGAAGAAGTTCCGAGTAACTATTTGCTAAAAACGTTAACGCCATACGTCATAGGTCTGTACAAGTCGAAGTGATGAAGAAACAGGACATTGGACAGAAATGTGATAGACTGTGCCTGTAGTGTTGTGTATGAAGAAACGGTGTGTAGACCGACCCACGGCCGTTTACTGATGAATATGACCATTTACCTTACAGAGACTACATGCCAGATCCCGCAGCGAGTTGCCAAACATTGTTACAAACCTGTATACTCGTAGTTAAGTGTAGGTAGAACACCGATTGTGAGATTCAAACTTAAAGCAATTCTTAGCGTTTACCTTATATGCTCCAATCTAGCTCATAAATGTAAAGTCTATTTTTATTTATATTTTAAAGAATTATATCGAAATGTTTAGTTATTTTATGTCATAGGTAGTTGAATTGTTATACAATATATTCATATATTTAAAGACAATGAAACTCATTGCATTTATTTTTAGTTTGTTATAAATTTTAGGCTAATTGGCAGTCTAGTTAGTAATTGTGGCAGGGTGATAAGCTAGCTTAAATAGAAACTCGTCTAGGTTCCTGCAAGACTTGCATACCTAACTGGGGTGACTATTGAGGTTGTCATGTTATTCTAAACTTATTGCAACTTAGTTACTGTATAGATTAAACAATGATCAACGATTAAGAAACGCAATAATTGCAAATAGCAGAATAATGGAAATAATATAATTAATTAATTAATATTGAGCTATGTACTTTAATTTATTTTATAGAAACTATGTTATCGTTTTCCAATGTAGAGACTGTGAGCGGTCCAACAGAATTCAGTTGTTGTATAACTGCGTTAGTACTTAGTTTAGGTCTACCACAGGAACCGTACCTACACGTTACGTTCTGCCGAGTAACTAATTCATGCCACATTGTTGCCAATGTTATAAATATTTTTTGATTTTCTATAGTTAAGCTTAAGTTCGGGAAATACCTTTTGGAACATGTAGAAATTGTACAAGTGCGCCATCGTAAAATAACATAGACAGTGTTGGCGTCTAGGACTTTCACTTACCCAGAAATCGTAGTTACATGATGTTATAGGAAACTAAAAACTGGTACTCTGTGAGAAGGTGGTAGGTTCCTGTTTGAGCCCGCTCAGTTATTGTACAGTTTTATAGGAACTATGACAAAATACAAACGAATGGCCAGTTTTGACTGGTGACAAACATATTAATTAAGCAACCGTGTATCAATTGTAACTTGTGAGGTATAATCTTTTTTAAAGATTTTTTTTAATTACTCAACTATAAATATACACTTTTCTTCCATTAGCATAGACAATTAATATTACCTCGCTGGTGAATCAATAAAAATGTGGAGGTTGCGTGGCGTAACGTAACGTTTTTATATTATCCTAGCGTTAAAATCATAACTATGTTGTAGATGAAGAATGTGGACTTGAGAAGTAGTTAATAAATAACATGTTACAAATAATTTTGCAGGTTTTTAAATTGCTTAAGTTTTTATTAAGCGTCTCTATGTATAATGTATAAATAAAATGTATTTTATTTTACTTTATTGACCGTTACTGGTGTCTTTTATTTATAACTAAGAGTTCTGCCTTCGTTAGCGACCTCTACATCACTGAAACTTTAATTAAAGTTTTATTCAGAAGTTTAAATCAATCTTCTTGTGGCCCTTGCACACGACCTCAAAGGTTGCATCCTAGGTAACGAGATACGTTAGAGACTAACGAATATCCGATTTCAAAATTCAGATGTTTTTTAAACTAGGTAGAACAAAGTTTTGTTTATTAATAAAAATCTTTGAATGTAAAAAATAAAGTTTATTGTATTACTAGTTTAACTTCCTCTGTAAGTAGAATATCCGTACGGGCTCAGCAGTAGTGGTATGTGGTAGTGTTCGCCGTCTTTTGTGTTGAATGTTATCTGGAATGAGAAAGAGTGGGGTTACTAAACAGATTACCTAAATATCAATGTCGGGCTTAGTAAATGCTTTGCAATGAAAAGAGTAGGTACTTAGTGTCTAAAGTTTGATGACAATATTGTACCTACAAGATATTTCAGGGAATCTCAAAATCAACAGATCATGTAATCAAAAATTAAACTTGGGATAAGACATGAGGTCAGGAAGATATTTTTATTCTTTATTTATTTTATTTCATTGACGTAGCGGAGAGGCAAGCAACAACAAATGTTTTGATACTACCTATTTAAAATAAATGATATCTAATCTGCTATGTCAAGGTTAAGTTGATCGAAATGATTCAATTATAATTAAATTTTACTCATTGAAACAAAATGAATGGTATCTAGATTAAATAGGTTAGGCCGCTAACATCTGACCTTTTTATGAGAGATGACAATCGTAAAATTGGAGAGATTTTGTTGTTACTTCGGTCATATGAATAAGCACTGAAATTGCATTGTAACGACCATAGAAAGTCTTCTGTTTATCAAGTTGGTAACATGGGTAGGTACTTATAATGACCTCCCGCCACCCAGGGCGAGAAGGAGCATCCGACTAGACCACTAGACCTAAGTATCAAAATAAATCGTAGATATTCCGAAAGAATCTCATAAGTCTCCGCTTAAGTAGTCAGGTAGATACTGCAGTCTCAACACCAGAGGAATAACAACACTTGAATTTTAATGGAATACTTAAGTCTGCAAACAATGGGTCACCCAATGGTAAGCAATCGGCGGCGCTCTTGTACCTACACCCGCTACACCAAAAAGTTACAGAAGAGTTGCTGTACTAAATTTTAATTTTTGTATGTTTTATATAGATTTTTGTATGTAGTTAGACATTCACAGACCATAATTGTTAAGTAGGTAGGTAGTAGCTTAAGTACAAAGCAAATAATTAATTATTTTCGCAATGTTTGTAGCTGGATTCTATGGACTAAAATATGTTTTTAAGTAGATACCTATTTAAAAAACGAATGTTAAGCTAAGTGCTTACCTGCTAAGTAGATAGCTATTAAAAATAGCTACCTACCTATGATAAATGCTTTACGTATTTTTACTACCAAAATTTTGATATTGAATGAACACAAACTGGTCGTAAAGATTTCAATAAATTTACAAAGTGATTTAATACGGGTATAAAAATAACGATACGGTTTTATAGGTAGGTAAACCTTAGGATTAGACGTTGTAGACATGCACTTGCTCGGTTCCTATAATACAGAAACTTAGTAATAACAAACCGACAGGCTAAATTATATCTAACCACGCTTTAATTTATTCAAATAACTTCCATAACATTCAGCTTTAAATGAATTATTTATGTTCTTTCTATATTCCGAAACAAAGTTATCGACTATCTTAAACAAGACATAATAAATAAACAGGATCTACATACCTCAACAAAAGGATATATCGTCTCCTTATCAAGCATTTTATAATAATCACCAACTTTAAACATCAACTTGTAGGTTCCCCCGGACATGGAGTCATACGTGAACGGAAACTGTATTCTGCCATCACTGGTAGTTGTTGTGCTGTGCCAGAGAGCCCAGGAATTTTCTTTTTTCTTGTATAATTCAACAAACAGCGCCGCTGCAGGCCTTCCCGTCGATGTGTCCAACACATGCGTTGATAGAACGGGTCGCGACATCGCTAACGTCTGTCCTCTATGCTCGTCCACACACAAACTACACGATAAAGATGTTTTCTCTCAACGTTTACGCATATTAAAATTATTAATAATAACAACTTGTTTAAACTTGGACTCTCAACCACTAGACATAGATTCTATTTTTGTTTACATTTGTTGCGTACCTATTTTTTCGTAGATATTATAGAGATAGTGGGAATAGCACGCGATTATTTTTGTAGAGGATTATTTTACGTGACTGTGTGGGTATCTCTTTTTGCGATTGTAATATAAATGATGATAGTAAAATTCTTGTAAGTATGTAGGTTGGATATACCTTTAAAATAGTGTAGCAAAAATGTAAGTAATTTGTTTATTTACATTTCCATAAACAGTTCTATTAATTTAAAGAGCATCTCAGCAAAAAATAGCGCCTATTTTTAAACACCGAGAGATTAAGCGTGCTTGTCTGTACCGTGCTATTAACATACGGACAGGCGCACCAATTTACTATCAATGTTATTCATTATTATGCTCATTTGGAACCAAATTTGCTATTTGAGTTCAAAACCAATTTAATAACTCTGTCTATGTTTTAAGTAATGTATGATATTATAATGTGATTATTAGGTAGGTTAGTTCAACATTGTGTATCTGATAAAGTACAAGTGAATGCTGCCACTACATTAATATCGTCTGATAACGAGTCGTTATCTGCAGCCAGTAACAAGCTGTTAGTGGTCCGTGGTAGATAATGAATACCACATCCAGTATAGGTCAAGCACAGGGTTCGGTCACTTTGTTTTTGTTTCTTTCTTTAGGAATAGAACACATTTCATTCTAGATACTTCGGTACATAAATGTAAAGCCATTAGAGAAAATATATCAGTTTTTTTTATACAAAGGTCGTAGGTACGTCTAGTCTGTTTATCCTACTAATATAACAAATGTGAAAAATGTATATTCAATATTCTTTCACGCAAAAACGGCCAGAACGATTTTGTATCAAGATAGGTGATCCTCTGGATTAATATACCTAAGTATATGCTGTTTTTCATCAACACAGGTACAACGTGGGCGAAGCTGCGGGCTGGAGTAAGAGACATATAATAAATGCATCAAAATTTTCCTCGGTCATGATATTACGCGTGAACGGTACCTAACACTGATTCCGATAACTCTTTTTTGCTGTGTTTGTCATCTGCCAGTATATGAGATACAATAGAAAGCACATTGTGTCTCGCGTAGCTCTGTGTTCCGGGCATATCACGGGTTAAAAAAGAAATTTAAGAAAAGTTGAGCTGAAAACATAGAAATAGCTAAGTACATTGACGGTACTGTAAAGGTTTGCTCAGTGTCAGTAATAACAAATGACTGACGCCGAGGTGGTTATACGAAGCAGAAGCGGGCGGTTATTAAAGAGATTTTTATAAGTTAAAGGTTTAGTATTAGGTTTAGGATTTGTTCCTATGTCATGGGTGCATTGCACATACACATCACACCCAGATTCAAAACTATTTGAACAATTTATGGATCTTAAAGAGTTGTTCCGTGCGGGAATTGAGCCCGGGGCATGTTGCGCGGCAGCCAGTCGTCCAGCCACCGCGCAACCCGTGCAGTCAAAGGTTACCCATACAGGATATAACCGTGAAAGTATAGAGGATGTAGGTAACAGTGGTTATATCGTCATTGATTGTCTACAACTGCCAATAGGTATAAATAAAGGGGCTATATAATGTAAGACTAACTATCTAATGCTAAGTATTGTCACCTGTAAATTGATAAAACACTGCGTTCCGCAACATAATCAGTAATCTTTGGATTAGTAGATAGAATGTTACCGATATAATATACATAGGTACATACATACTCAAATAACAGTATTCTTTATGGGATGGGTCTACAAGCGAGCATACAGTAATCTGTATGACTTTCAATTACATGAACGCACGTGTAGGTATTGAAAGTCAAAAGACGGATAACGAGGCGCAAAGGTGGCGAGGAGTCAAGGAAAGAGCACAGAGTGGTTAACGCCTTTTGTTCCCCGTACTGGCGTATGATGATGTGCAGAAACATGATCATATTTACGCAGGTTGAAAACGAATTCATTGCAGTTATTAAGAAATCGTCAAGTTTATTGAGGAGATCACCATTCAGGTCATAGTAACTAACATACTATTTCGGGCATAATTTATAATAGAAAAGAAACCAAGGCCTCCGCCAGCATCGCTTTGGTAACAAATGCAAGCAAATTCTTCAGTCGATATAGTGTCCGCTCCTTATACATATACACTAGTAACCAGTGCATGCCACTTCATCATATGACTATCAATGTACAGGCTCAGATCCTTAACCTCACCACTAAGTGGAATGGAATGGTATTATCAAAGAGGACAGCCGATAAATTTGCTCAGTGGATTTGGGTTAGCAGAAGAAGTTCCCCATAATTTTTTGCCTTTTAAGAGGATTTACCCTTTTGCCAAAACTTTCCGACTAATTCTTAATGGCTGCTATGTCACCTTTGACCGTCATGATGGTATTAGACTCAACTGACTGTCCACATTAGCATAGCTTCAAGTCACCAGCATACAGAATATGGTCGCCGCAGCAACCGACACTCCGGACGTCGGGGATCGAGATACGATATCCGACCCCCGTAAGCGCGGCTCTGCGGAAGGCCAATAAGGGTAGCTCGCCGGATGACCAGATCCACACCCGAGCGTATGGCTTGGAGCGTTCCGCGTTTGCCTCAAAGAACCAATAGACCACCGCAGAGGTTGCGGGGTAAGCGCAATGAGGCACCGCAGCCTCGGTCCAGAGCAGGAGAATAAACGAGAGACGGAGATAGTCAGTAAGAGTCTGTCACACCCTACCGCCCAACCCTGGGCGGGAGAAGTCATTTGATGATTTTCCCCTGACAAAAAAATCATACAAATGATACGCATATTGAAGTTCGGAAGGTATAAAATTACTGAAGATGGAAAATAAAAGAGGTAATAGCATACCGCTTTGATCAGATTCAGATGAAGACGAGGATAAAAACAAAACTCTAACAAATTGATGTTTATTACAATCGTAGGTACGGGATGTGAGACTATGGTAATTGGTAAATCTTATTTTTATTATATTTTTTAAATTTAAATTTTAAAGTCTTCTGCTAATCGATGGAGCCGGAATTCATGTCGAGGGCGTTTTTCCTGATGTAGTTCTTCTTAATGTACACGTCAGGATGTAGTACATCCTTCCTGGCGGCTTGTTCTAACACATTCTCGGAGACGAAGACGTTGCGCCCGGTCTTCACCAGCTTCTCCTTGAGGCGGTCCGGCTCGTAGCCGAACACGTTGAGGCTGGGCTCGCCGTGCTTCATGTAGTCTATGCGCCACACGGGCGGGTCCGCGGGCTCTACCTTGTAGTTGACATTGTGTGATTGCTTCCTGCCCGTATCTACGCCTACGCCTCCCCCGTTCAGGTCTGGCACTTCTACCGACATGGAAAGCTTCTCCTCCGAGTAATCTACAAATTCCTTCCGTGCCTTCGTCTTATCTTTATACTTTATTTTGTGCGGATAGAACTTCCTAATCTTCTTCCTCCCGTTGTACAGCGTGCTCCTCGTGTTGTCTAACTTCGACTTGCTTTTCTTCTTGGCGTCTTTCTCTGTCAATTGCTCTGCGTTGTCCTTCGCGACTCTTTTCCTGTGTATCTTCGCTCTTGACTGCTCTGACTTGTTCTTGTTAAAGTATCCGTGGCCGCTGACTTGCAGAAAATTTGAGAGATCCTCGCTATTTATTGATGGAAACAATGTGAGGTGGTAGCCAGGTACCGCCGTCGTCTGCTCCATCGATAGTTTCTTGTACTTGAGCTGTTGTATGGAGCGCTCGATGAGGTTGCGCAGGGTCTCGTCCTCCACAATCATGCCGCATGGTATCGTGGGGAAGTTCTTGCAGAGCACATTCTGCATCGTGGACAGGATGTCAGGGTTCTTTAGGAGCTGTTGCGACTTATGCTGCTGGTGGGGAGGTTGGTTGGCCGCGTGGTGCGCCGGCTGGTGCGCCGGCTGCAGCTGTTGCTGGGAGAGGTCCGCGGGGCGCTGCGTGGCAGCCATCGAGTTGTCTTTTTGAAAGTCGAACACCATTTTAGATATTAGTGCATTGTTTCTCATCATCATGGCGTGAGACCGAACGAAGTAAATCATTAAGAAAAGCACTTCAAAAAGCAGCCGCGCCATCTTTGAGTTTAGTATCTGAAACAAAGTGGCTTGTTTAATACAATTAGCGACTCGATATTGATTATAGGAATGTTATTGTTTTACTCGTTGGAGTGCAGTCATCGTGTAGGTACCTACTTACGCGTACGCGGCGGAGCGGTGTGTAGTGCGTGACTCGACCGGGACCATTGCTGGCTGCTGTACCAGAGCCTGACAGCACGCGCTCTCAGTAGCCCGACCTAAGGCGTAACTGGTGCATTACCTCAATAGTACACTACTCATATGTTATTGGATCATTGTAAAGCCTTGATTTTTATAATAACATGAAATATTGTGTAAGTTATTTGATTTTTCAAGATTAAGTCTATTATGTTATAACATTACGTAAATACTGACGAAAATATTGGCTAAACTAAATTCGAACCGTTTTGTAAGTACCTAACAGTTTATTAATGACAAGTATGTACTTTTAAAAGAAGAAAGAAGCCTAGAAAATTTTGATGTAGGTACTTACTGTGATCAGCTTCTTAACTCTTCGTATGTAGACCTGGAACGTGTGAGGCAGTGAGGTAATTCCTAGTTACTGGCAGGTACAGAGAGTGGACAAAGCGCTAGTGTTTGTAAACCTGTTGCGGTGTTTGCGCAACACCCCAAAGGTGTTTGTAACAATATTTTGGTTCGCGCGCGTGACTTGCGTAGTTTCGTGTTTTGCCGAGATTGCAGCATTGCAGTTATCTCACGACTCTCAATTTCGGTGCTACTTTAGATGAGATTGAAATTGACATTTTTTTGAAAGGTGATATAGCTAATCATCACATTAAAAGTGGGAGTATCAAATACTTCCTGACCAAAAACAATTCTTTTCTTACACCTT